CAGCTTAAACAAATGGTTTCTGGAAACAAATAGTTTGTTTTCATTATTATTGTGTCATTAGAATTACAGGTTAATGATTTATTTTCTGACCAGATATGTAATTTCTTATCACTACATAACTTTCATGATCAGCAACGGCGTCTTACTACTTAAGTCAGAGGAAGGATCTTATACAAATTACCAAATTTAATTTCACCAATAAACATTCCCATCATTTTGAAAAGGATGTCAACTTGCCAATTTCAGAGTTCATTATTCATTTTTAAAAAGGCTTTTCTTTTTAGGCACCTAGCTGAAGGTTGATATTTTCATAAAATGTCTGAAGGTACATGTGTGACCCAAAGATAAAATGCCTTAGATAAACTACTTTGAACTTCAAATTTCAGATGAGGCAGCATTTTTGTGAGATAATGACCCAGGTTTCTTCTTGATTGAATAGTACAAAATATCTCTATGAATCTAAGGAGAAGATATTTTCACATCGGGGGTAACTTGTTGCTTTTATGTTACCCACACTAAGTAGATGGGAACAAAGGCTGCTACAAAAGGCAGCCTTTTTATTTTAACTGAAAGTTTAAAAGTTATTATAGTACTAGAAAGTATTCAAAATGCTTGCTTTAAAGAACAACATAAAGCAGAAAACTAAAATCCAACAAAAATTAATTTAAATTGAGAATGATTTAATTCCTTCTCTTTTGATCTAAAACATTATTAAACTTTTGTAAAATGTTGATTTAACATGCCTTATATTCTATTTTATCATCTAATTTAACGCACGGGAAACAAAAAACAATTAGAAGTTATTTTGTAACACACAAAGTTTGCAGTGAAGCATCAGAGCCGTGTCCAGCTCCTCACCAACACGAATTTGAACTCACACTATTTTTGTTTCACAGTTTGAAAAGCATATATTGTGCCACCAGTTGTCATATTATTTTTAAATGATGTAACACAGCCATCAAATTAAGTAATGCCTAATGTTTGGGATGTAAACTTAATGTGCTCATTGTTTTCAGATTAAACAAGTAAAAAAATCAACTTTGTTGGATCACTTATTTTATTACTTAAAGTATTTCTTTTGACTTAGATGTAATTCAGTGTGTTTTAAAATTATTGGTAATTTTTAATGAAGAATTTTGGAAAAACTTTTTAATGTTCACTTCAGTTGCATGTATTTACCTTGTTCTGATGTCTAAGCACTGGCTTCTTGAACTGATTCTTGCAGCCAAGATACTTAGATGAACTTAAGCTCTCAATGGTTGCTTTGTCTCTTATTTTTTTCTAGAATATTTTTTAAAGCTTTCTTTAGGAAAATAATTATGTAACTAAACTGAAGAGATGTTCAACACTACTTTTAATGTCACATATTTACAGAATTTTATGATTTATAGACATTAAAATTATATTACCCTGACTAGTTCTGAAAGGGCAGACTTCACCTATAAAGCCAGTTTACATGTTTTTAGAACTGGCTTTATATATAACCCAAGGGATCTACAATGAAAGCCAATAACCTGTTAGGAAAGGATTGTTTTAAAGTCTCACTTGGAAGAAAGTGATTTAATTCTAGTTAAAACTTCATGTTTTAAAGATTATGAGGGAAAGCTACAAATGTTTATATCTTTAAGCAGTTATTGTTCCTTTAGATACTAAATATCTTGCCAGAGGCTGTCAAGCCTAGTTCAGATTTTACGGAATCATTCTATACAACAAGTGGTATGCACAGAAAAGTAAAAGAATAAAAATTCTTTTATATCACAATTAAGAATTTAAACAAATTTATTCACCTAGTCACAATTAACATTATATTCAACTACTGGATACTGTTTTGAATTTTTGAGTTTATATTTTTTGGTACCTTAAGGATTCATCATTACCAAGCTGCTGTGGTACAAATAAGGTTTTCAATATTTGAGCTGTGAAAGATGACCCTTTTTCATGAAAGGCCTCTAAAATTTTAAGACAAATATAACAAAAGCTTATTCTGTTTCCACAGTCTCAATATTTAGTTTGTTCTCTGATGAATACAATGGAGCATCTTTTCAACAGAGGAAACAGTTTATTTCAATGCAATTTTGTTTTGACTTGGAATACAGATCTTTGTAAAATACAAACACATATTCAAATACAGAATGCTCTCTGAAATTAGTTACTGCAACTTGACATTCAAAGCACAGATATAGTTTTCTTTTCATAAGAAATTAACACATTTTAAGAGTGGAGTTCAAAAAATTTAGAAGGATGTAAATACGAAACAATTTCTTTACAACTTGGTATATTTACAAAGGACTCTGGCTCTATTCTTCATCAAATGCATCTTACAAACGAGTCACATTGTCCCTTTAAGTCAGGCACAATTGCGCTTCCCTCTTGCTGGAAACTTTGCTAGATCCTTGTTATGAACAGTGCATTGGACACTCGTTTATTTTAACTGCGCTAACTCTTGGTAGTTAATGACCTTTTCTCTTTAAAATTCCAGAGACTTCTTCGCAAAGGATAAAGAGGGAAAGACAAAAAAACCCAAAAAACAAAAAACCTACAATTTTCTGCTGAATTTAAACTCTGGTCAAAGACGCGATGCAAATAATTTATGCTAAAGAGGAAAATACCCTTTCTCCCCCGACGAGAAGTGTAGATTCATCCAAAACCCCAGACCGCTTGTCTTTGCTGCTAGAGGCACAGCACGGGCATAACTTGTGGTTGTGTTTTTCTAGTTTCTTACCTCTGGGCCTTCTTTATAGCTTTG